ATAAATTCTCCTATTTTGTAGCAGAAAGAAATGCCCATCTACTGAAGCTGGTCCATGCCAGAACCAAGATTCAGAATCGTTAAATCTATTCTTTAGTTTTAGCTTTACATAAGCCCACATAATTATTGAAACATGACACTGCTTTAAAGGGAAGTGTCAAGACTTCTTGAATGAGGGTCTTCTAAAGCCTTTAAGCCGTCAATATGTTACTTAGAGTAGACACTTTTCTTTTCACCTTTCTGAAGTTTTAGCCAGACAAGTGGCAAAACTAGCAGCAAATCCAAGTAGATTTTAGAGCTAAATGGACTGCTGTTTAGCAGATTTTTTTTTCTAAAAATTCCTTCTCCAAAAACACCAAAGAGTTTAGTACCGTCATGAGATGTTTACCCCATTATTAGGTTGTGTTAAGAACAGGAAGGTCATGGTGGTGTCCAGCCTCCCACCATCTCTTGTGTAAGTAGTCATGGGTTTATGTGAAAAAAAAATATAAGCAAATACAAAAATTTCCTTTTGAAAGCTTCAAAAGGAAATGCTTATAAGCTTTTAAAAAGACAGCTAGTTCTCTATAAACAATGTAACCAAGGGTTTCATGTTGCTGCAATCTAAAGGATGCACCAGATCAGATCAGTTGAATAGAGGCTGCTATGTTTTGCTGGCTTGGCCTTGGCAGGTTACACAGCTTGGTCTGAACTTTTAAGGCCAAGATAAACCCTTAAGTGCATAGTTTTAAATAAAGCCAATTTACAATCTCATATAAAAACAGGGAATTCGCAGGAAAGAAGAAAAACTTCTCAAAGATGGAGCGCGAGTCAACACTAGGATAAGCTTATGTTTCACAGCTGACAGCTCTAACTGGGCTCTCAATCAGAGAGCCAGAGCAGAAGGCAGTCAGCATCCTGCTGGTTCAGTCTGGCCATGTCACTGCTGCTACGGAGCGGATTACACGCCAGCTATTGTTGCAGCAGGTGTGTGTTAGAGAGATGTCCATCCTGTCCCTCTCTCCAACACGCCTCATCTTGCCAGGATCTCCCCAATTCTCACATGCACCCACTGATATTTCTGCCATTCATGCATTAAAACAGATGAATGACAACTAAATTGATAACAGCTGTTACTGTTTAAATTAAGCTCAGCAATGTTTTTCACATAATCAAGATAAAGCCAAACTGATGCTGCTTGGACGAAGATCTTTGTAAATAATAATTAACTTAGTGTTCTAAAGACCATAAAAATCCCAACTCAGCATCCGTAAACACAAATTAAATCCCACACACTGACTGGATCATTCATAACAACTCCAGAACAAAGCGAACAGATAAACACCGAGGCCTCCACAAGACAGACCATGCACGTGTGTGGACGCCAGCCCTCATTTTAGGTTATTCTTGGCTCAAGCATCACCTCGGCAGCAGCACAGCTCGCAGCCAGAGTGTTGCAACATGTCAGCTCAAGCTCCAAACAGTCTTAAATAGAGTGTGTACATTACAAGAGTCCTATAGGAGAGTCTGTATTTATAGGGTTTAAAGTTAGGAGGTTGGGAAAGGTGCCCAGAGCAAACACACAGGCCATCTTTCCCCAAACAGAGCAGAGAATAGAAGCCAACCTCTTTATGATTGGCACTGACTTCAATCCCAGTAGCAAAGCACAGCTTGTCTTGTAGCAAATACAGGGGATTTTTAAGACCCAGAAGCCCCAAACACACTGGTAGAGTAGCATAAAGAGAGAAATTACCATTCAGTTTAGGCATACTAGCTGCTAAAATCTAGTCACACCCTTTTTACGGTTTAAATTTATCTCAAGAAGATTTCACAGAAAGTATTCGGTTTTCTCTGGCTGGATGTAGCAGAAAGTAAATCTACTCTACCCCTTCCCCACTTGTTGCTTTACACTGCTAGTTAGCTGGATGGTAGAAGGCAGCTGCCTTCATTTACACACAAGAGCTGTTTGGAAAGAAATGTTACAGGTCACAACAGACATACATTGAAGGCCTGGAAACAAAATCAATTCATGATGTAACTAAATCACTCAGCTAACATTTCTTTTTGGGTTTTTTTTTTTACAGCAATTCAGCAAACAAACTATGAGCTGCAAGTCTGCCAATAAACCAATAGCTGAGTAGGTGGACTGAATAAGATCTACAATAACTTTAAGAACAGCCAAACAGCAAAAAGGTATAACATTTTTAACATTCTGCAAAAACTACAAATAAATTTAGTACATTCATACTTAATTTACTTGCATCAATGTATAAAAACAATAATATCGACAGCATTTTTATTACTGTAATAATCTATGTGAGGCTGTTTAAGTAGAAGAAGTAAAAATTGTTACTCTACTAGTTTTAACAAACTAATAAGATAGTGTTACACATTTTGCTTTAAAATTTTGTGTAATTATCATAATACTGAGGTATTTTTATTTAAGGTCGTCACAAAATAAAAATCTCATACAGAATTATGACTACCTAGTCTTTAAATTCCCCATTATATAAATATAGCACTAATAAAACGTCTTCAAGTAAGAGGCATTTTCCACACTATTCAGTGCTACAGAGTAAAACTGAGATCTTTAGTTTAAGGGCAAACTTCCATTCATTTTGTACTTTATTCTATAAATAATAATAAGTTCAAGTGGCATAATTTTTCCCTGACACATGGAAATAAAGGCGTACTGTATTAATGATTGCCTTACAGGGAAAAACACAGATGACTGACATTGAAAATAAACCATCAACTGGATTTATAACCCCTTACCCGTCTCCATCCTCATTCATTGTAATCTGGATGCCGAAAAAGCTGTTGACAGCCGGACTGGTCAAGCTGAGGCCCTCGCCAATAGGAGACTGCACATGGTCTTTCACTGCCCCCACACCAACACTGTGCTGAGCTAGGCCTTCGGTCATCTTCCAACTATCCTCCGCCGGATTAACGACTCCTCCGTACGCTCCCTGCAGCTGGATGAGTCCCGCAACACCAGGCGTCTGACTGGACACACCTGGAGGTACGCTGGTCGTACTTGGCACTGTGGCAGGCACGTTCTGGCCACCGCTGTGGATAGAGACGGTGGTCGCAGAGGGTGCAGGGGCGCTGGCCGCACCCCCTGAAGGCTGCTGTTGTGTGCTTCCTGAAATTACAGGGGCCACGACTGAGGCATTGGCCACCTGATGCATGAAACTCACATCTCCACTGGGCCCTTGTGCTCCTGGACCAGCAAGGGTGAACTGAGGTAATGATACCTGACTGGTGGAGCCTATGGAGGAGGATGTAATAGGAAGATTCTGGGTGCTTGACCCAAAGTGTTGTTGGCTGGGAAGGGGAGAATAGACAAACTGCTGGGGAAGCGAAGCAGGAGGTATGATGGCACCATGGTGCACACCATTGAGGCTGTCAGGTATGAAAGTCTGGGGGGTACCGGGCGACATGGTTACCTGAGCCTGTTTGGATTGCTGTGATGCTGCTGCTGCTGCTGCATACCCCGTGGGCTGGAAGGCACTTGCTCCACTCCCAATCTGAGGGGACAAACTGTAGCCCTGCTGCAGGGACTCTGGGGCCTGAGAGTGGGTGTGGTGTCCAGTGGAGACAGAGTAGCCACTATCTGTGGAGTTCTCCAGAGCCTGTGCAGGAAAAGCACTGCTACTGACAATAGAATTACAAGTAGCCCCCAGCCCACTGTCTCTGTCCACACTGTGATCGACGGATGGAGAGGACTTCAGGCTGTCCACAGTCCGATGAACTCCTGAATCCGATTCTTTCACATAAAACTCAGTACAAGTCCACCTGCCCCGTCTGAAGGGCTCTCCATTACTATGGTCGAGTTTAATGACTCTAAATCGAGAACTACAACTGTTGCTAGGCGCCGTGTGGCTCATGCTGGTAATAACAGCTGTAGCACTACTTACTATGTGGGAGCTGAGGACAAAAGGCACACTCCCCCCTACATTATGTGGGGTGTTACGACCACTGGATGTAGATTTCATAGAGATCCCCCCGATAAAAGGGCTTGTAAAAGGCAGCTGGCCCTCCTGATTCTCCCCAACGTTGTTCAGTGTGTCGTCTGGTGAGATCCGGTCACACCCCCCCGGCGACCTGGGATCAGTCCTGGGTTCCTGCGGATCGTCCAGCCGCTCGCTGCCGTCCCCAGCAACGATCCCGCCCGCCTCCGGCTCACTTTTCTGAGCCGGAGTGACACTCGTAATCTCGAAGCAACTTCTCTTCTTTCCTGTTATTTTCGACATCGTTAGCGATTTGGGTTGCCCAGAGGAAACGGAGTGGTGCACTAACGTGTTGCGAAGCAGTTCACAGCTGAAGCATGGGATAAAGGCACGTACCGTCACAGCACATTTCATCAGAGTTCATCTTTCAATCTGCTGTCCGGAAAAAAAGTGTAAACCCCCGAGGCCGGACCCCGAAGAGAAGGCTCGGGGTGTGTGGTCCCAGTGTGTGTCGGCCTTCCTTGTATCCGGGCAGCGAAGTAGTAAACAAGCCCTTGTCAAACTTCTGACTGAGCAGCAACCACCGGTACTCTAGTCTGAGGATGACCCAGCCTCTCAGCGATTCAAGTATTTCTCACCACTTAGCCAAGATAGCTGCTGTTGGCTAGTTTCCCCTGCCTCTGTTGGAGCATATGCGCCATCGTGATGTAAACAAACTCGGTCGCAGTTTCAAAAATTAGTACACAATCCCAGCAGACGAAAGGGAGCGTTTCTCAAAGTTTCTCCGGAAAAGTTTGCCTCTCTTCGCGTGAACAGCTCTTCTCTGGCAGGTCGCTGACAGAAACAGCTTCTTCCCCCCGCAGCGGTACCGAGCTAACGGGCAGCTAACTGCTCCTGACTGGCGCTCAACCGCTCCGCAACATGTCACGAACCGAGAGCATCACGAGACGGGAGGTCAAACGCATCCTCCGTTACCTCTAGCAACTTCATTCAGTCAGAAACTCCAACTGTAGACGCCCTCCATGTAGTTGGAGCTCCAAGAAATTGCGAAATTAATTTTAAATGGCTAAAAAGTTAAACATTCACTGTCGTCACTTCCGGTAAGCGTCACACCCGGTAGTCGGAAAAGGGCTTTTTTTTGTCGGAAAAGGTTAGTAAAAAAAAAAAACTCTGACATTAAAGTAACTTTTTTATTATTTTCAAATAAAAATATTTATATTGGTGAAAGGAGACATTATACATTTATTGATAATATTTTTTTTTCAGATGAAATTCAAAATAACAGCATTGCTTCTGTTCATTTATTTTCATCAAAGCTTCTGCTTTTGCAGCTCTCCTCAATTTACACAGTAAAAGCGTTTCTTTCCGGTTGTGATTATCTGAGGGGGAAAAAAGTTCACGAGAAAGCGCACGATAAACTGAAAATGGCTGCCATCATTTGAATTACTTTCCTCATACATTTCCATTACCCTGAGCTTGATGTCGCTCATTTCCATCCATCCAATGTATGGAAGGGGGACGAATTCAATGATTGAAATATTACTGAAAAGACCAAATATTTTAAGAACTTATCACAAAGTGAAACATATTATATGGAATAATTACACATAGATGGAAGCTTGAAAGCCTTTATATCTGTTAATTCTGAGGATTTTTTTTTTCACTTACAGCTAATGAAAAAATTCCATTTAGAATCAAAACCTTCCATGAGACATTAAACATATTTTAAAAAGAAAAATTGGGTTTAAAGAAATTTGTGCTTAATATGTCATTATAGCTTGTTTCCTTCAAAGGATACTTTTAGGTTCATCTTATTAACATGACTGTGTAGGATTAAATAAAAACTACATACATATCAAGTTTATTTGTTTTTCACATATCACCATAAAGGCAGTTCAAAGTGTGTTACATCTTAGAAATGTACAAATGTACTAAGTCATGAGACACAATCAACAATTGAAGCAAAACATTTGTCTGGTGGCATTAATACATATCAAAATGTTTATCAATGTGTTATTTATTATGTTTCAAAAACTATTCTAAACAAGTGGATTATGAGTCTGGATTTGAAGGAAGTCAATGGAATATCATAATGATTAATTCAAATTAAAAAGAGAATATTTGTAATTATTCAATACATGCTAATATAGTGGATATCATTTATGGAAAAAAATGCACTTTTTGCACAATTTCAAATTTACTAAATATGACTACATATTTGTTCCTTGTATTTTTAACAACATGTTTTCTATATTTGGCTAGGGAGCTTTTTCAACTCGCCTGTGTTGTAAAGTGAGAAGCATTCACCCTGTAAGCATGCAGATCAACACTTCAGCTGAGTCCAATTGAGTGAGTCATCAGAAGACTTATTATGATTAATCATATGAGTTTGAGAAATCAGGGAATGTTGGCTGACAGGGCAACAGGCAGATTCTGCTTCGCTGTAGTCACCAAGTTAAAACAAACATCCTGATAAATCTGATGAAGCTGATATGCATCCAGTCATTCCCTGAAAACAAAGACACTTTACGTTTGTGACTTATGCCTTTGGTTAAAGGTGTGTCACAAAACCAAACCCATGAAGAAGTTTCAAACTAGTTTTTTTTTTTTTTTTTTTTTGCAATTTACAACTCTTGTAAATGATTTGTCATAATAGCTGTGAATGATTTATGTTCCTGAGAAGTAAATGTATCCTTCACAATTACCTGTAATCTTCATTTTCCAGCTCATTTCAGCCAGTTTGATTACTTTGAAGGTTAAATCTCTAATTATTGCAATTTTCTCTGGCTGCACTGGAAGGACACAATATAACTTGTAATTTCATTGCAGTTATTTTTTCCAATGACAGGGCACACCCATTTTAAACGCATGGTTTGAGTCAATGAAGTCGAAGAGTTTAAGAGATTACCACTAAAGACAGAAACAACTGATGTTTTGATAGAAACAAGGAAGAGGGTGGAGCGTGTTGTGACACATTTCATATCTGGATCTTTTGTTGCCAACTTAATATATCTGCCGTCATAGGATTTCAACATCTCATATTAAGACAGTGACTCACCTTCCATGTGACTATCTGTTCAACCAGCGACTGCTAACGCTTCACAACCTCGTTTGAATGAATCTGAAAATTGATTATGCTTCTATCTGCTTTTTTACCTGATTTTTCCCATTCTCTGTTAACTACATTATTCTCTGCAGCGACTCCTTTGCGGTCACTTGAAGACGAGAGGTTAATTCATCTGCAGAGGCAATCACTCTACGTTACATTCAGCTGTGGGACAGTTTGTCACAAGATAAGCGCATGATACAAACACAGAGAAAAGGGCCATAAAGTTGTCCTCTTTTGACTGACTCATTGATATATGTACAATTTTGCATGTATTTCATTTTGACCATGTTATGTGGCATCACTGTCTTAAAAAGTTTTTATGGAGGAGCCAAAGGTTGAGAAATATTGTCTTCAGTTCATGAATTATCACGTCATGCACTTCAGTAAAATAGAGTTTTAAATTTTGACAGTACATAAAAAAATTCTAAAGTGCATCAAATTATCCAGTAGTTTTAATTTAAAGAAAAGTTGCAATATTTTTCACTGCTGTTAAAATTACATAATTTTTTTTTCACATCGTTGTCATATGTCTGTTACGATTTCAGTACAGGAACTAAAGCAAAAGTGTTGAATAAGTAACTTCTAATTTTACTTGCAGTTGTGAAGCGCTTATTGCACAGAATAACGTCCCTATTTGCAGAAGCTGATTTTCAGTGGTTAAAATGTCAGCCTAAGTTTATAGTTTGCTTTCTGTAGTTTTCAAACAATTTCCTAATGAGAGTGGCAAGTGCTAAATATGGGCATCATAGCAGCCCATATTTTTGTGATCATGTATATTTTTAAACTTCCTTACTTGTCCTGAAATATACTTGGATATCAGAAACTCATCTATGCCTGGTCTTGAAAGATTCATTTTAAATTCTGTATTTACTTCTGTACTGTTTTCACAGAGGATCTTCAAATGATGCATTTGCCTATTAAATCTTTTGATATAAGTAATATTAGCAAAAGAACTTAGAAAATGTATAAGTCTAATCTTACATGTATTTTTATCACATTGTGGGTAAAAAATATTTTGTTTTCTCATATACTAAAGATCGTAAAGCACCTTTGAGGGTGCTGAAAAGCAATTTATGAGTCTGATGTCATTTCATTTTATTTCATAAGTCGAAAAACCCCTTTACTTTTAAAAGACCAGTAAAATGAAATTATCAAATTATTCCCCTGTCATTTTGAGTTTTATTTCTGCAAGTTCATTTCTGGATTTCAGTTTTTTACAGCCTGACCTAAACACTTTATAGGTTGGTTTTATTTATTGCACATGCTGTTTAAAGTGTTTTCGAAATTTGTGGGTAAGAACTCTGTCTTTGGGTCCTTTACAAACAGAGCATAAAACCGTCCGAGAAATCATTATAAAGCATGCACACATACCAAACACTCATTATAATAAAATTTTTTATAATACTGAACAAAGGTTTAGCGCTCAGCTTTTCTGGGGTTTAACCTCAACACATGAGCCATATCCACCGCTGGCTAAAAAGTGGATAGTTTGTAACTTTGGACTATTTATGCATTTATCTGTTGTTTTTCGGGGGGAAAGGTGGAGGAAATGTTCAACAAACAAATAGCTGGAGGCCAGCCGAGACTGTGCTTCTCAGCTGGCCTGAGAACATCTTGGGATATCATCAGAGGAGCTGGAACAAGTGGCTTGGGAGAGATGAGTCTGGGCCCTCCCTTCTTAAGCTCCTATCCCCGCGACCCGACCCTGGATGAACCCAAGAAAATGAATGAATGAATGGATGGATGGATGGATGGACGGACGGACGGACTATTTTCTGACAATCGTCCTTCAGAACATTGTCGCTGATGGCGTTTACAGTTGTTCTGAGGAGCTCAGGAGACTCACACTTCCACCAGATGTTTGCTAATTGCTGTTTTTCCACTAGTCTGGTGGAGCTGTGTGGGAGATGCATTGGACCTTAATACAACTTTTACTGCAAGTTTTTACAAGTTTCTAGCATGAATGGATATCTGATCACTTGTTTTAGCAGAATTAATTTATTTCATGTAAACTGATTGATTTTTCATGCATTGACCCTCAGATCAATGCCAAATTGTGACCACAATTAAAGTTGGGGGTTTGAGGAGGCCATTTCAGAAACTCAGTGTTAGGTAGATTTATCCTAATCCAGGTTTTGCTTATGTTTGGGACTCTTTTCCAACTGAAATATCTGATTCTGTCCAAGTTTCAACCATCACCACTGCTGCTGCCATCTGTTCGGATGCAAATTCAACCTCAACAAGATAAAGTGTGTGCCAAAAAAAAGTTGACCGCACCAAATCTGACATTGTCAATTAAAATACACAAAGGCTAGAAGTATGTTTGAAAAAGTCAAAGTGAGGCTTTCAAAGCTAAGAACACTGTTCCAAATGTCCTGCACGGTGGTGGTAACGTCATGCTAAGGGACTGTTCAGTTACACTGGCACTGGTGCACTGCTCTAACCTCGATTCAGTGTTTTCAACAAAACAATCAAAAATCATATGTCTATTTTTCTTCCTTTTTTGTAATTAACAAGGGAGTATTTATCCAGAAAGAAGAAAAACTGAGAAAAATAACAGTAAATTCAAAGTTATACAAAGGTTTCTAACAACCTCATATCACATTTTCCTTGTTTTTATTTTTATGGGTGCTTTATTCTCAACCTCTGCGTCATTTTGTAGGACCAGGCAGCATGCCCAACTCCATTCCTTCAAAGCACATTCACAGTGACATGGAAAATAACTCTAATGTATTACTCCAATGCCATAACTCACTAATCATTGAATTACATGGTTACATAGCATCTGCCCCATAGTAGTGCCCCATAAGGTCTGTGACAAAAACAAACTCGTGCTCTCCTCAGATACAAGAGAGTAGATGGGAAATAGAAGATTAGTTGACATACAGTACAGCAGCAGGAGATACAGATGTATGGCATGAAGAGGCTGATAAGATGTCATCAGACTCTGATTTGGTTCATGTAAACAGTATAGAAACTAGATTGGATTAATACAGTCATGTCATAAGTTGTGTTACTTGTTCATATTTCATATAATAGTTTCATTTAAATTCATTCAACATCAAAAATGTTTTGCTATAGCTAAACAGAGCAGTTTTCCTATTTCCATACATCTGGAAACAGCTCCTGTGACAACATTGTTGCAATATCAGCCCTGACAAACCCTCTATACTTAGATGCTCCCTCTTTAGGAGCATGTTGCACATGGGCTTTCCCAGACCCATCCAATCTGTTTGTGTAGCTGGTTGAGTTTATTTGCTCTGGTCTGAGGGCAAAGACTGCCAGACTGTACTGTGGCCTGTCCCAGTCCAACATGCCTGCTCCACTTTCAGTAAACCACCTCCATAACAACGCGGACATTGTGCAGGTTGTATTTTTGGGGTCTGGTAGGAGGGGGTTGGCCAGTGGTCACTTTTAGCTGCTAAACCTGAGAGACCTCTGGCCTTCAGCAAAGACTTGTGGGGTTCAAGAGGGCATGATCAACAAACAATCTGACCTAATATCTCTCAGCACTCGTTAAAAAAAGGGCTTCCCAAGAGCAACAAAAGGTACAACGGATTGGTTCAGTTGAACCTGACAAGAATGAAAGTGAAATTGTGAAATATACTTATGAACCTTATGTATCTTTTCTGGTTTAGTGGGCCTCATTTCCACAGAAACACTCTCTAGTTTGTTAGCTTTGACCCGCACCATTTATTTCCCCATGTTTGACTTCTATAAAAAGCATGGAAATGCCACTGTAAGTGTTTTTTTAAGGATGCGGTTCTGTCCTGTTCACACAAAAATGTTCCCGAGTAGAGTTGGACTTGATTTGATTGCATTTTTTTATCATGAAGTACGGCTTATGTGTTGAGGCGTGCTTGATCACCAGTTTCACCCTTCTCATAAATTTTAATCAAGCATGTTCGATAGATTTATATTACAGTGAACAAGTAACCCATGAGCATACTGATGAACAGAAACAACAGGCACCAAATTATCCTCACATCGCTGTGTTTCCACTCTTTGCTCATATAATATAAGGTTTGATTTAATTTCTGTTCTATCTTTTTCATTGAATGACCCACTTCTTGCTCATTGATCGATTCAGAAAAAAGCAGTTCAAGATTATGCACGTTCAGGACATGAGATCACTCGAAGCAGAAATAAACTAACAATTTAGGGCAATCAAACCAGCAGGGGTTCCCAGAATAACTTTTTCTTTTTTTTATGGAGTGTGAATACTTGTAACTGGGTGTGAATTCTTTTTTTGGAGGCTGAAGCAGCAGCCAGATGTGTCATGTGAGACAATCCCTTGACACAGACTGATGGGCAGAGGTACTTGTTTGTTTTTTCAGCCCAGCAGTGGCCGTCATGCTGGAGGTGTAGTTGTGCAAAAATCTTTCCAATTATTGGATGTAGTTTTATACTTTAACAGCTTCAAGATTCTCTGCAACTTTATCCCTGACTTGTCTGGTCAGTTTCTTGGTTTTTTATAAGCTGTTAGTTTTCTAATGTTCCCTGTAGAATCTTCTGATGCCTTCAGAAAATCGATTCTACACTGGACTCTCGTATTTGCAGAAGTTAGGGACCACAATTGTCTGCAAACAGCTATATATATGCAAAATTTTTTTACACATACTCTGCAGATGTTATCAAAAAAAACTGATTGAAATTCCATATTTGTGTAAAAACATCTACTCTTTTAACAAGCAAAGACATGTTTGGGAAGATGCTCCACATCGTATTTAGTTTTCCAACTTCCTTATAACAATAAAACTGTTGACATTATAAGGAAGCAGGATGAGAATCTGAAAAGATTTCCCTGTTTAAGCTTTGAATCAGAAGTTTTGACTCCCATAACAACTGCATTCAGTTTCCAAAACACATTACGACACTCTCCTGAGGGGGAAAAGCTTTAAAATGACACAGAGCAATGCATGTTGCCAGCAATACAAATTCAGCCCCTCAGCTAATCTGATGCACAGTAATACTGTTGTTAGTCAAAGTTACATCAGAGGTGCCTGCAGGATTGTGATCCCACGGTGTGTCTGTTGTTGCTGCAATAAAGTCTCTCAAAAATACATACAGATTAAGATTAAAGCAGAAATGCATACATGTTTGGCTGCAATAAAAATAAATTAGCATTAAACTCTCGCACAGAGTTATTTTTGTTTCTTTTCCTCCCATCTTTTATTTTCCTGACATGACTTCTTAGTCCTGACACAAACAGAAATTTCTTCTGCTCCTTCATTGACGTTGGTCATTGGGTGCCTCACAGACCAGTTTCTGAAAAACTTTTTCATCAATTTTGGGAAGTCTTTCTGTAATGTCATTGCTGGCTCATAATTTGTAGTCTTAGTTCTCTTAAGTTAACAGACACAATTGTGTCAGTAAGTAATGAACGTTTCAGAGGCAAACACTCAATGTGAAGCAAATGATGACTGCAGAAAAGCATCCGATGACCACCATTACATACAGTGGATCCATTTGTGAATCTCCTTCACATGCCCTAAGAAAGCTGCTCAAGTGCATGACCTCATAACACCAGAACTGAAAAGTTTACTTAAGGAACTACAGCACAGAGTGACCCTTCTGGGTCACTAAGTCTGCATTAAAGTCTTGCAGTTAGAGCTTTTTATTATTCTTCCTTGTTAGTTTCATTGTTATTAGCTTTGTTTTTAGCAACCTTGTGTTGCTTCACCCTTCTTCACCTTTGAACAGCTTCGGTTAAATCTGTGCAACCACATGTTTAAACCAGAGAATTAAAAAGAGGCTCTCAATATTTTTTAAATCACTGATAAATCGTTTCCAAAAGAACAAGTCCAAAGTGCGTGACGCCGGAGCCTTAAAACTGTTACAAAGACTTACACCTATTAGCCTGAATGCAGAATGAAGGAGTTGCTGACGAACATATTTTTTAGCTTATAATCCTGAGTGAGACAGAATCATTGCTTCACAGAGTAGAATTACAGCACAGACTAAAGCAAACAACGAAATTCTTACTTGTTCAACCAGTTGCCCTGAGGGATTATCCATAAAAGGTGAGAGAGAAGGATGTGAGGTAATTCATAAATCCACATGTGTTTGCATGGAAACAATGCTGTATGCTTACATGCCAAACTCTGACTGAATCTGCATGTTTTGCAGGAGAATTATGGACAAAACTTTGTCCATAATGATTGGACTTTGGGTCTTTTAGAGTTTGAATCTGCCATGATATGTCATGTTATCCAAAAAGATGGGTATGAACAAGAATGTGTGATGAAAAGGATAAGAGAAAATGATGTGGAAAACTGATTAGAGTCCTCCTATCTGCATGTGTGTGGTCGGATGTTAATCCAGATCTTTCAGCAGATTTGCTTGCTTTTCCCCATTCGTTTTGACAAGGAAATTGTGACCCACATTATGAAGAGAGACATTTTTAGAAAGAAAAACAGATTCTTGGGGAAATGTAGGTCAAAATCATATTCTAAAGGGGGTGAGGTGTGATGTAAAATTGTCTTTTTTGAGCTTCATAAAATGTAATAATGTTGTTCCCACATTAAAAACATTCCTGGAGCGTTGTTTTGATTCTTTCATGCTCATTGGAGAAATCCTTGAATCTCCTGTGTCAGCAATTTTACAGTGACACACAGTTTACTGCTTCTTACAGTCCATTGACTACTGGAGAGTTGAGTTGGAGTGGGTGGATATTGGTGATTTACTTTGACCTTTTGGTTTATTGCCTTTGGGGAAAAAAAAACTACAACAAGTAGGATGGAAAGCAACATTATTCTGTTAGAATAACCTCTGAAAAAACATTAAAAAAATACTTTGCTCTACTTCTACTCAACATGAGGGTGAAACATGAAATGTGAAAAGATAGGTGGCCTTACTTCTGTAATTGAACAAGATAAATTTAAATAGCTAAAAAAAGAAAGCCCAAAACAAGAAAGATGAATGAATGTGTATCATGATTTAACTCTGAGGAAGGTAACAATAAACTGCACTGAATTTGGTGAATGCATAAGATTTTTAAAAAAAAAATAACTTTTCAATGTAAAAAGATGAAGAAAATGTGTGTGTGTGTGTGTGTGTGTGTGTGTGTGTGTGTGTGTGTGTGCGTTTGTGCGTGCGTGCGTTTGTGCGTGTGTGTGTTTTAGGCAAAGATGCTTAATGTTAAAATGAATAACAAAAAGGTAAACACAAAAGGGGCACCAGAGTAGCACAGCACTGTTGAAAGAAGATCCTGACTTCAAATTCTGGCCTGGGATCTTTCTGCATGTTCTTCCTTTGCAGAAGTGGGTTCTCTCAAGGTAGTCCAGCTTCCTCCAACAGATAAAAAAACAAGACTGTTATAAATGTCAAATTTATTTATATAGCACATTTTAAAACAACAATGTTGACTGAAGAGCTTCACATAAGGAAAAAGTAACAATGTTAAGAAACAAATGAAAAAAATAGAATTAAAAGACTTAACTACAGGTCATTTGAATACTGAACTTAACCTGAGATATGGTCCTTTGTGTCTCTAAGTTGCCCTGTGATGGACTGACTCATGACTGCTGGTGATGGACCCCAGAACCCCAGCGCAACGCTCAGAGAAGAAGCAGGTATGAACAATGCATGTATGGAAAGTATACAGAATATAGGAAACAAAATCAAACTTTAAATTATAAAATTATGGATTTGATCAAACTATTTCACAGTTTCTAAACCAAGTTTAGTTTATGGGATGATAAAGCAAAAAAAAAAAAAAAATTACCACAGTCATGTCAGAACAAAGAGAGGTCATCTCCAAATTGTCTCTCAAAGTCAGAAGATTAACATTCTCAGAAAGGGCCATCCGGACCCCTGAAAGTGCGCCGGGCCAAAATCCCCCTTATACTCATCTGTCACAATGCAGTCAGACGAGTGGAGTTCTCCTGGAAACTGACACACCCAGACTCCTCCATTATATTGCTGCACAGAGACGTGAGTTGTCATTCTAGAGATTGTATCTCCGTTGCTGTATGTATTAGCAGTGTCTTTTACACCTCATCTGACGCTTTGCGTTGTACTTGGTGAAGTCAGTCGGTCATGGAAACCTGTCCATGAAGCTCTCTGCATGGTGTTCAATCTCATCTAGAAAAGGTCTTCAACTCTTAACTCTCTTCTGACTCCACTCCAGGATTTTTCATGGCCCACCACTTCATGGCTGTGTTGCTGTCATACCAAGCCCCTTTCACTAATACCACTAGCAGCTGACTGTGGAGTATTTAGCGATGAGGAAATTTCCCAGATGGCATCCTATCACACTACCTCACTGGAATTTACTGAACTCCTAAGTGCGACCCCATTCTTTCTAAAAACATTCATAGAGGCACTCCTCAGGGCTATGCATCGGCTCTTACAAACCTGAAACTATTTAGAACACCTCCATTCAATTAATCATGCTGAAAACAAACCAAGAACAAAAATTTAAAACAAGTACTTTATAATCACACATCACATTTACAAACGAATCCAGTTAGGAACAAAGAAGAGGAACTCAGGAGTAGCCAGTGAACTTTAAACCTGCAGCGTCATTGTTTAAATAAATCAAAACAAAAAAACATGAAGCATTGTGAAAGCTGAATCATGATGGGCGAAGAATCTTTTCATTTCTTTTTTGGGGGGCTGGGAGAGGTCAAGGGTCAAGAAAACTGGTCACTGTTTGACTCTGCAAAAGACTTGAGGCTTAGACAGAGGTTCACCATCCATCAGTACAACCTTGCAATTGGAGAATTTAGATCAGATCACATTCATCTATTGGAGTGGACCAGTCAAAGCCTATGCCTAAATCCAACTGAGAATCTGAAATCTGGTCCATACTTTTATCCTTCAGGTGTCTTAATTAATGAGAACCCAGATGGCAAAATGTACAGAACAGAATAATTATTAATGCAACACTAATTGCAGAAAAAATGTTCTTCAAAGTATTAAAAGGGTGATATTGGTTATTTTGCAGGCACATAGTGCTCTTTTACAGCACAATCGAGTAGCTATGCTTCCTTCAGTTATTATAAAATTTCTGTAAATATCAAACATGAAGAAACAGAGACCCAATTTCTGACCCTTCTCTTTCAGCACCTCATCACAACGATGCTCCTCCATTAAGCTGTTTGCAAACATTTCTATTTCATTCAGGACTTCAGATTAAAAACTTAGAATAAACTATTCTTGGTTAGAAAGATCACGCAGAGATGTCTTTTTATTGTGGAACGCAGGAAAACATACAGCCACAGCAATACTGCTTTTCAGCTAACACCAAGCAATAAACTGGCCTACTCAGAACTATACCTGGAACTGGTATATTGGTATTTCTTACCAGTAGGGGGCAACAAAACAATCTATTACATAAACTTTACTTAAATTACACGAAATAAAATTATTCACAGAGTTTCTCATAGATCAAATGCACTTCTTCTTCTGGGTTCCAGAAAATGCATTGACATTTTCATTGTTTGCCTCAGTGTTGTGAGTCATAATTCTGAGCTTGCCTCCAGGCATAGAAACAGGGTATGCAAATAAAGGAGGGAAAGTAAAGTACTGCATATGTGGGTGCCTCTCCACCCATCACCTCTCAAACACATGCCTTTGGCAAGATGTGTAAATTATTTATGTGAGCTTAATTTCAAAGTAAGTTATCCTATATGTTACATCCTAAGAGCTGCTCTGCTTCAGTCATATAGAATTCAGCCTGAAGCAGACAGGAGCCCAGAAAGCAAAAGTTGAACGACATCTGCACTTTGTGACAGGGACTGTGGGAAGTAATCACAAATTGTGTCAAACATGATATCAGTGCTCGATCGAATCTGTGAGCTTCAGCCAACATAAATAATAATTTGACCCTAAACATCAGAGTCAGGAGCTTTACATTTCTCATTTTCTAATTAGAACTAACGACCTTTAACCTGAGTTCATACCCCCGTGTACATACCGGCCAACTTTTAATCCCTCCATTGAATCCTAAATCCTGAGTGACTTAATTTCCTAATTGTTCAGATTGAAGGGGATTATGGTGTCTCAGAGGCCAGCGGGCAATCAGGGGGTTTACCATGGGGTGAGAGATGGGGGAGAGGTCAGAGTGTTCAACCTTCAAGAACAGAGGAGGTGGACACATTATGATCAATGAGCATCACATTCTGAGCTCAGAAACAGCTGCACAGGTTGCAACTGCATGCCTTTAGGTTAAAGGAACATTTCAACAATGGTTTGGGTTCATCTTAAGGCTGCACCTGGAAATCACTTCCAGCTGTGGCATGATGGGAAAGTCAAAAAAAAGCAGTCAAAATATCATTTCCATCTGCTTGAAGGTGTTGTGTTCATCTGTTCATCAAGTTTAAGTAAAAAATAAAAGAAAAAAGTCTACTAAGGTATTCAAACACTGCTTTCATTTTCTATGCACCAATGCAACAAAGGCTTTTTTTAAACAGTAATTTTTAAATATTTTGTGGCCAGAAATAAATTTTTCAGTAGTTTATTCCTTTTCATCTTTAGAAAATGATGCCTGGATAAGACATTTACAAAAAATTAATGAACACTGTAAAAAACGAAAATGTCTCTAAACTACAGGTACATACCGGCTGCTGTGGTTTCCAGAGTTTCCTGTATGAATACGGTAAAATCACAACAGCTTGTACCTTAAATAATAGATGTTGTATTTTTGTTTTTTTTACTAAGCAATCTTAACACAGTTGTTTCTGCAAAATGTTTTTAATTGAGATACTTTAATCTTGCTTCTCTGATAAAATGTCTTGAAAATAGCAACAGGCAAATTTTGTTTCATTTTTATGAAATCCTTGAGGTTTTTTTTTAGATGAAATCAAACTATTTTGAGTTCAGTTGTCTCTTAAACAAATAAAAAGACTTGCTAAAGTTAATGTAAAGATTAGCGCATTGATAATATTCATTGGAGGTGTATTTTTTTGTTAGAAGCTGGATATAGGCTTAATTTTGGTTGGTTTGTTCAAGTACGAAATTTTAACACAAATGTCAAATTTTATTCTGTTAAAAGTTTACAAAGCGGTCAATTAAATTAGCGCTGTGTTTTAATTTCGGAAAAGCTAAGTGTGCTAAACATTCAAATTCAAATGAGCGCCACTGTATATACATGTATATACATTATTACATGTATATAATGATCCTAGTAAGGTTAATAAATTCTGATTTTAATAAAAGAAATGAGCAATGCTTATAACTGCATATTTTAATAGCTTGAATGTTAAATATACTTTGTGTTTGCGCTACCATAGACACTATCCAATGAAAATTAATGATACTCCTGGATTGCCCACAACTGGATGTTTCTCTTTTCAAAAAAAAAAAAAAAAACAAGTTTGACAGCATTAATTAGATCATACAATTTCTAGAGTTTTGAGAAAATCAGAGCTACAGTGGACCCCATCAATCCCAACTTGAGTAGTTTTTTTCTGTGAAATGTAATTATTTGAAAAAAAAATCATCTATTTGCTTTTTTTGTCCTGCTTGACTAAAATATTCTAAAGAAAAAAATGCAGCCTAGGAAGCTAAGATGATTAGCTTCCCAATGCTACTTGATACGCTATTGGCAGCCAATCCAGGAGCAGCATTCATTTTCTCATGTGCTGATTGGCTGTATAAAGGAAGAGGTAAGAAAAACTGTGGATGTAAGTTGCTGTGGTGCAATGGCTTCCACAATTTAATGTCACAAATCAGTAGGCACTGCCCGTCACCTAGCAACCCCAGCAAAGCCCAGCCCGTCACCTAGCAACCCAAACAGAGCTCAGCACGATTGGTCAGCTGGTTTTACCACTGTGAAGTGTTTTGTTGTTGACTTTACCATCCAGAACCACTTGCTGCATTGTTGTTGGTTGTGAAGGCAGCTCTACTAATGCTTTTCAAAGATGTATGGTTGCATAATAGGCAGCATTAAAAACTATTACCAGTTTAAAATACTTTCAGGCCTCTGGCTTAGTAGCAGTGATGGCTTAGTTACTTTAAAAAGGTAACTTAGATTACTCACTACTTGATTTGGAAAGTATCTAAGTTGCATTATAAGTAATTTTTTTAATTACTTTGAGCAGGTGCTAACAACAACGCTCCACCACCTGTGCAAATGACATTGATCTTACCAAATACTTAATTGCAAGTTATTTTATAATGATAACATCAACAATGTATCTCCACTCATAAGGTTGAACTGAAGAGGAGATTTTTTTATTGGTTACAAGTATAAAAAAAACAAAAAAATAAACAAGAACAAGTATAAAAAGAACTAACAACTAACCAGGAACAAGTATAAAAAAACCTAACAACTAAACAAGAACAAGTATAACAAGACCTAACTATTAAACAAGAACAAGTATAAAAAGACCTAACAACTAAACAAGAAGAAGTATAAAAAGACCTAACTATTAAACAAGAACAAGTATAAAAAGACCTAACAACTAAACAAGAACAAGTATAAAAAGACCTATTAAACAAGAACAAGTATAAAAAGACCTAACAACTAAACAAGAAGTATAAAAAGACCTAACTATTAAACAAGAACAAGTATAAAAAGACCTAACAACTAAACAAGAAGAAGTATAAAAAGACCTAACTATTAAACAAGAACAAGTATAAAAAGACCTAACAACTAAACAAGAAGTATAAAAAGACCTAACTATTAAACAAGAACAAGTATAAAAAGACCTAACAACTAAACAAGAACAAGTATAAAAAGACCTAACTATTAAACAAGAACAAGTATAAAAAGACCTAACAACTAAACAAGAACAAGTATAAAAAGACCTATTAAACAAGAACAAGTATAAAAAGACCTAACAACTAAATAAGAACAAGTATAAAAAGACCTAACTATTAAACAAGAACAAGTATAAAAAGACCTAACAACTAAACAAGAAGAAGTATAAAAAGACCTAACTATTAAACAAGAACAAGTATAAAAAGACCTAACAACTAAACAAGAACAAGTATAAAAAGACCTATTAAACAAGAACAAGTATAAAAAGACCAAAAAACTAAATAAGAACAAGTATAAAAAGACCTAACAACTAAACATGTATAAAAAAACTATCTACCAAACATATTTAAAATGACCTTTTTCATGGAGCTGAAGGTCTTCAATCGAGGCTGAAGTCTGTTTTCCATGATCATGAGGACGTTTCGCTCCATTATGGGTGTTCCTGCCTCCAGAAAAAACAGGATGTTGTCCACCCTGTTGCACTCCTTCATGAGGTCCTGGACGATGGCCTTCGCCCGCCGCCTGATCTTATCAGTTCTCATTTTCAGGACTCTGGCTTTGTTTTCAGCCCAGAGTTTCTCAGTCAACCGTTCACAGATGTCACGGTAATATTCTCGTGGGTAGGCTCTCTGGACTGACATGTCAGCCATCCTCTGAATCACGTCTCCGACCAGGCATCTGACGGCTGTTTTCACCTCTTCGGACTGGTCTTCCTCCGGTTCCCTGATGGACTCAGTTTCTGACACCGGATGGAAAACCGCCAGTCCAGGTAGATCTGAAACCTGGTCCTCTCGTTCCTCATCAGCACTAACATGGGAATCTGTAAATTCCTCATTGCCGTCATCGTCCAGCTCTGACGAAGCCAACATCTGATGGTCGGTTTCATCAGAGGTGGATTCATCAGAGCTGGACCCCAGCTCTGAATCGCTGTCCAGCAGATTCTCAGTCAACAGGCACACTGGACAAAAGGAAGCTCCCCCGGATTGGATGTCATCCAGTTTTGGCTTCCCTTGTCCGTCCTGTGACTCTTCCTTCGACTGAGTCTCTGGATCAGAGTTCTCCATGTCAGTGATATTCAGAGGAACGAAAGGCTCCAGGGGTGTGATCTCAACCTCAGGCTCCTCTTCCTGAAGCTCTGGGGTTGCCTGGACGTCCAGGCAACGTCTGCCATGGCCGGAGTTTCTTTGTCTGTGGGCGGCTGAGAATCTTTTTCACATCCTTCAGTGTCAGAATTGCTGTCTGCTGGAGAAGCTTCTCCTGCAGACATTTCGCCATCTTCCACCTGGATGTTCTCCTTGTCTTGACTCAAAGATGTTTCCGGTTCTTCATTAATTATTATTGGAGCCACCTTTGCTGAATATTTTCCAATTGAATTTCTAAAAAATCTCTTAATTGTTCCTGCCAGACCTTTAGACTTTTTCTTTGGCTCACAGGTTTTGACGTCGGCTGGTTCAGGTGGGTACGATCCATACAAAAAGTCCTGCATTATATAGATGGTTTCATCAACCATATGACTGATGATGGACATGCTAGCCACCTTCTCATCATGTTCTGAGTCCAAGCTGTTATTTATTTTCAGTGGATGTTGCACAATCAGTCGGTTCAAGTTCCGGGTGTGTTCATTGTTTAAGTCTCTGTTGATGTCCATAACTTTAGCAAAAGTCTGAGGAACTGTGTTCCCTACGGCGGCCTTCAGGTCCTTCATGGTGCGTCTTTCTTTGTGGACACCAAGCAGAATGTTGGACGTTAGCAGCTCCAAGATGGTTCCAAAGGTCTCCTGCAGAGCAGAGGTGGTGCTGGGTTCAGGGTTCCCGTTTGCCAGTCCCATCCTCTCCTTGGGGGTGAGGTTTTTGACAAATGGGTCGACCGCAGGCATCAGGGCTTCCACGATGATGATCTGGGTCTCGGATGCTGAACTTTGACTAGTTGGCATGATGATTAGTTCGGTTGAAGATGAGATTTGGGTTTTCTGCAATGATAGAGAGAACGACTGGCTCTGCCAGGAAAAAGTGCAAAGTGACGTTTAGGGGAAAAGAACGAACAAATAAAGACTATGACGTCATATGCATCAAACCTCCCCACACAGGATCGTTATGTCTTCACGTCAGTAGTCACTTTACTTTTTTTGTGAGGAAAGTGCTTTATGGTGAATATATGTATTCAGTAGTGAGCTAGCTAAATCACAATGCTAATCTGCTAACTTCAAATTATGTCTGCTCTTTGAGTTTAACCTTTAAAACCTATTCAATTTCTACATCATTTACACATTCATGTCATAGATATTGTGTTTATTTTTCTTTCCTGTGTTTATTCGTGTATGTGTTATGTTTGATATCAAGAGATAACGTGAGGAACGGAAACGGAAGTATTGCGAAAACAGTCCTCACCCTTTCAAAATAAGAGCGCTTAGCTACAAACAGAAAGGGGCGGGGACGGACCACTGTTAGTCTCATACCTTTTCTGGAAATGGGACTATTGCATTCCGGCAATGAAGGGGGTGCTAGTGACACTATTTTCTGAACCAGCCGTGTTTTAATAATTATAATAATAACGCATTATACTTGACAACGCCCAAGAACACTTTCAACATTTAAAATTACAAATTAAACAGTAAAGAAATGGCTACACAACGTGTTACATCACGTGGTACGTCTGTTTTTTAGTTTTAAATATTGTTTTCAGACGTTAAACTTATATTAGTAACAGACAATCTAAAATAAGCAATAATAAGGAATCATTGTGGAGATGTATTTATCTATCATCTCATCTGATCACAGCACCGGTCTCATCTCCTCCACCCTTCATAAACTCCTGCTTGATGTGCAACTGCTCCTCACCTGAGCTTCCATCACCTCCACCTGGTCTCCACCTTCGCTCAGCTTACCTTTAATCTTATGTTTGTATTATGACTTTGTAACTAAACAATGTTTCTGTATGTGCTTGCTTTATTGCAAAACAGTTGATTCTGACTGTTAAAACACAAACAACTTAGCCGTATGTCAAGTTCGTAAAGAAAATTTTTATTGATTCCAGTCATTGCTCAAAAATATAGGAAACATTGTATTTACACATATAAAATATTGCTAGTTATTAACTTAGCTTGCATTTAACATTTTTAAAACAAAGTTATCCAATTGCTAAACAACACTGTAACTTTGTGTGGAAACGACACCATTACTATAAAAACTAAATAATGTACATCAACTGAGCTACAACAAAAGGAACATACATAATACTGAAAGAAAACTTGAAAAAGGATGACTGCACATGTTAAAAGGCAAATGTGCTTCAGCAGAAAAGATTTAAAATGGCATGTCACAAAAAAAAATATGAAGGTCAATATCAAATAAGTATTGTAGTGTCCAACGTCCAGAACGCCACACAGGAATCAGAACCCAGAGTCTGTGACTCGTGGACAAAAGCGTAATGATTGAATGTGCCTGTGTTGCCTGGATGTTGGTATCTGCTGGATGGTCAAGTGGCTGGACTGATGCACAGCTGGACACCATATTGAAAGTTATTGTGTGGTTAACTAAATGATTAACAAACCCGTCCCTCCTGTCAATGGTTGAAAATAGTGCGGGTAATGAAAATGAGATGTGTTTCTACAGGTTAGGCCACATCTGAATATATGAAAATCTGCAATAACAAAAAGAAATGAATAAAATTAAAAAACATCTATATACGTTGCAGATATGTTTAAATAAGACGTGGTTCATTCCCACTCAAAAAAGAACGAGAACACAGTGTAATAATAACTACTAACATAAAAGAAAAAGCTTATTACACATCAGGAAATATACAAATGATTGGTAGAAAACAAAGGCATGTTTGAAATTAATCACTGTAGATTCTTTAACATTATTATTATTGTTTTGTAGGATTTAACAATGAATTTTAGAAGTCACAATGGCTTCCAGATAACAAATATATGTTCTGCAAAAAATTAATTGAAATTGTAAAAGTGATATTGCTCAAACAGACAATGGCAGGGATTAACTAATTACATTCACTCAATTACTCTGTAACTTTTGACAAAAAAAAATTTAGGAACACTTTTCCAAATGTTATACTCTTAGTAAATTTTGTTGATATGCAACCTAATGCAAGTAACTGAAAGAAGAACACATTTTAATCCATAAAAAAAACACAATACACAGATAAATGTGGTTTATGTTAGGTTTCTTCTAACCTTAATTTGTTGTCTTCGATTGATATTTTTCCTTTTTGGTTTTAAAATACCTAACAGTGCACACAACTTCATTTTTATTAATGTCTGCTGAAATAAATGGGTAATACTATATTGCACATTATTCTGTTGAACCATAGCAGTTTTGCTATATGGTTCTGTAATGAGCAAAGATTTGTACAATGAAGATAAAAAAAAACACAGTTTGAGCATAAAATACATCCCTCAAGTATAAATATTATCTACTTTTGATTTTTATCTAATGCCCTGGAGGGAAATAATTAGCTATGCTACATGCTAAAATTAGCAATCCCCTGTATGAATTACGAATTTCACTAGTTTACAGCTGTTACTGATATTTTAACTTTTTTACTAGTGAAAAAAAGTTGTAAGAAGGAAGAAAATACCTTTTGCTGACTTTGTGGGTTTTGCATTATGGATTGTGTGCGGAACATCAGCGGAAGAATCTCTCAAACTTCCTTCAATCGACCTCTTAACCCCGCTTCTTTAAGGTTTGGGAAATAGCGCCCCCTTCAGTTCCAGAATGCAATAGTCCCATTTCCAAAGAAGGTATGGGACTGACAGTGGTCCGTCCCGCCCCTTTCTGTTTGCTGCAGCGAGGTCCTTCTCGGTCGGTCGGTTGGTTGGTTGGTTGAGTTTTTTGTGTTGCCAGTACTATCTCCGTTACTGCTCCTGAGCCCCTGCACTGAATGAAAGGTGTAGGAAAAGTTTCCAGCCACAAGATGTCACTGCAGAGCTGAGAAACATCATCTGCTGCCCTGACAGCCTCTATTTGTCTCTCCTTATCGTCTTATTTCAAGCGTGTTCATACCAAAGCGTGTTAATGATTAGGATGGTAAAAATAAAAAAGAAAATAATTTTTTAAAAAATGGAGCTTGTAAATACTTTCTATAATCAATTCAGTCTATTTAATGTTTGCAAATGCTCTCTTTTGTCTTTCCCTTTAAGTCTGAGCCTTTTAGCTGTTTGTAACTCTTTCAATATTAATAAAGATAATTGAATTAAACTGGAAGTACCTTTATAATACCACAAAAAGCTTTTATTACTTTCTTTGTGAGGACATTATCCTGTTTAGGATCATTATTCTGCAACAGTATGAAGCTGAATGTAAACTGACTTTATTCATCTTTCTGCTGCTGAAATATTGATGTGCTGCATCTGAGCATTTATTAAAAAGCTCAAAATGTACATTTGAAACCAGATATTTGCATACACTGACTAAAAAGACATGTTGTTGATTTTTCTTAATAGAAACATCTCTCTGCCTGAAGTTAAACTTTTCTTGTTTCAGCTTAGCTGTAATTACCCTTTTTTTTCTATTTGCTAAATACCAGAAATCTGGAGAGAATTTTTTTATGTTTCTGGAACTTTCTTTGAATTCAAAAGTTTACACACATTTGGTCAGTATCCGGGATAACTATCTTTTAAACTGTATGATCAAATTATACCATTAAGAAAAGTCATTCAGTTTACTTGTCTTTCTTGTAAAGATCTTCTTTCAATTTGTCAAAAAATCATTGAAATTGCATAGACTTCAACTTGAACTTGTTGAACTGCCATCCCTTTGGAAGAACTTTTCATGCATCTGCGTGGATAACTGATTTCTAAAATATTATTTAAAGAGTACTATGAGCAATGACAGTGAACAGAGACAGAACTATTCTTGACTGTCATGAAAGGAAACATTCTGAGGCTATACGTCCTTTTACTTTAATCTTGTTCTTCATTGCTCTCTGTGTCCTCCAGTACTGATATATATTTTTCATTTGTCCTACAATGGCGGTGGCTCTTTCAGTAACGTACAGGTGTGCGCCTACAGAGCTTGGCGGGCTTGGAAGTTGAGGTGCAGGTTTCACAGTGTAAACATGTCAGTGGGTGTGGTGAACAAAGCTGAACCAGGTGTGTAGAAATGTTGACTCTGTCAAATTTGGTCCAGGAGTTTTGCTGTTTGTTAACAGCCCATAGACATGTGATCTATTTGACAGCAAAGTGTCTGTAGTGCTTTAGTTTTAGCTTCTGGAATGTGTTTCATCGATGTTTTATTTTAATCTAAAAATATATATATATATAATTTCCATATTTGATGTCTTAGCGTGTACATCTAAAAATGATTACAGAAAAATGAACTAAATAGTGCATTAGTGCTGCAGAATGAGCTCAATGCTTAGGTGATGCAGGAAAAAATTCCCTTCTTATGCATGAACACTTTCTCTGCAGAGACCATTTATTTCATTCATACTTTCCAATATTACGATATTTTATGAACTACCAGCAGGTAGTTCAGTTTATTTGCAGGAATGCAGTTTATTTTGCCGAAGTGAGAGCAATAACTCATTGCAGAATTAAAAAGGTAGCTCCTCTGAGTTGAAAAGCAAATCATCTCAAAACACTTTCATAACCCCCCCCAAAATTTTACCCATACTGTTAGGCAATGAAACAGAAACAAGAACAGATGTTCCTAAGACTGTGGTCATCTTCAGACGTAACTGCACTTCATCTGCATCCTTACTGGTGTCCTGTAAAAACATACATTTGTCAAATAAAACACAATATTTACTTGTTATTTCAATTTTCAGAAAACCTTCTTTCCTTTTCTTTCTAATTGTATTGTCATTATCAACCTTTTTACTGCAGAACAATCTATCATTGTAATATTTTTTCTGCATCTTTTGCCTTAAAATCCTTAAAATGAAAAGCACTGAAAAGGGAATCAGAACAAAGAATAAGAATAGCACAAGTCAGCTTTTCAGAAAATCTACTACCTCTGGTGTTAAAGCTCTAAAGTAAAGAATAGAATATATAAATAATCATAAGTGTTGTAGAGAACATGCTACACTGATAAAACGTGATTTAATATTTCTAACAGTTCATGTCTTCAGAAAATTGCGATACAATCCAAAAAAGTAAATCTTACCTTTCAGAACGTTTGCATTTGTAATCCTGTACACAAAAAGGAGTTCCTGATCCTAAATTTTATGATTTAAGAAGCACATCATGTGCCTCAGAAAAAGCTTTCTTCTTCCTAAAATCACTGAACTCAAGAGAGAATAAAGCTCTGCTGTCTGTTTAACATCATACGGAGTGAATCATTTTTGGCAAGTGGGGAGTGGTCAGGGGTTTTATGCTGCTTTTTAAAGAGTGTTGGAGGATCAGCCAGAAAGACAGCACCACCTAGAGAAACTAAGGAGGAAAAAGAAACAAACTCTAACAGATCATCTAAGATTTCTCAAGGTAAAAGCTTCACCAATAAAACAGATCAAAGATATGCCTATATTTGATTATTAAGATACAGCAAAATCCTCAGCAATTAATGTTAAGCTCATGATACCTCATTGTTTGCATTTTAAGATTTGAAGGATATGAAATCATCTATGAATTCAAACTACTTCATATCCAGTAAGAATGATGTTGTGGTTTGTGTTAACTATATCTGCTAAAACAAACCACTCCATCATTTTCATTTCACTGTTTATAATCCAGCATTGTATTTTTAGACTCAGACACAGATCTGGAAATGTTTTATGATGAATCACGGGCTTGTCTGGCTGTAAGTTCAGATCATGATGAGAGGTGTGGAAAAAAGAACCCTGCAAAGCACAGAAACTGAGTTCACAGAAAAAAAAAAAAAAAAAAAAAAAAAACATTATTCAACCTGAGAGTCACTTAATGCCTGTCTATGAATTATGACTATCCATGCTTGCAGAACAGTGGGGCTTTACATCCAGACTGTACATTATCTTTCTGATGCACCACTGGGAAGACAAGGACAGAGCTACACAATTACAACTATGTTCTTCTGCACCACATAAAAGAATTTTTGTCAGATGAATTATAAATTCTTTGTTAAATTAGCATCAATTTAAATACTTGATCCAGATTACGATTGCTGGGATGTAGCATAGTCATCCACATTCTCTTTCCAACTACCTGTACTTCATGGTACCGCTGCCCAAAGTTCTTCATGGGAGGGTCTTACTGATTGATGTACCAGGTATACATTAGGGATATCGTCCCTTCACTCAGACCTGCAGAAAGGTCTGAGTGAAGGGACCTTCACCTTCACTAGGTCCTTTCTTTCAGCACTCAACCTCCCAGTATATAAGCGCCACATTTTCAGCCACTCCTGGCTGGATCCTCTCGTCTACTCCAGTTATGATCTCTTTGTGTTATCCTTGTGTTTCCCTCTTAGATTTTTATTTTTTCCTGCCCTGGTTAGATGTTAACTTTGTAAGTTTGCTTTTCATTAAACCTTCACATTCACTTGCCGCCTCCATATCTCAGCATTTGAGTCCAGCTTCAGATATAAGGTTCTTTCTTCTTGATGCCATATTTTTTGTTTCTCCTGCAACAAATCTCCAGCACAGCATCATGAACAAAAACAAGCCAGGCAACCGGTGGTTTGCCAAGTGAATGTTACTGTATCATTCAGATCTAACGTATAGAAATCTACTGTATTTAATCATTTTGATCCCTTTATATATTGTGAACCAACCAAATGTGATACTTTAACTGTAAACAAATCTGCGGCTTCAGTTTTTCCTCTGCCATGCAATGCGTATAAGGCTCTGCAGCCGCATCCTCGCTATTCAAATCCAGACTACAACCCTCTGCCCTCTGAGGCCTGTTGGACTTTATGTAAACTTACCTTTCGTATCTGCATGCTGACTGTGAATGTCGTACACATTTGAATAACAAGTTGGCTCGCATAAGAAAAAAAAGCTGGGTGTGTGCAAGCTTTTCAAGGTCGATTTGCATTCTTACATGACGTCCTTGTTTTCGGTGATAGCTCCATTCCACAGAGGGGCAGAGAGCGAGGCCCTGAATAGGCGATCTCGCTGTTTGCACAAGCAGAGTGGCTGCTGGACATGTAAACAGGCCAGTTCTGAGATTTATTTGGGGGACAAAGGTCACTGTGGCTATGCAAGGGTGTAGTATAAGTTGTACGGGTGTTGTACAGATCACAGTGGCGGTTTTCCTCTAGTTCTACTGGATAAATTTTGACATTGTCATTCTTTGTGATAATATATTTGCAGATGTTCCCTGTAGAAGCAGTTATAGTTCAGAGGTTTAATCTCTGCAGGGGTCAGGACATGTTTTTCCAGTTTTTCTCTCGAATAAAGATTTTCTTGGTCTGTCACAATCCATATCCTGAAAAACAAGGAGACATTTTCGGGAAAGAAACTTATCATCAGCATTCTTTCTTCTCTACCTCATGATGTTCAGTATTTAAGGTTCCATGTTCAAGTATCTCCTGAAAAGGCACAACAATAAAGACTTTTAAACTTTTAAAATGATTCTTCAACAAATCTAAAGCTACACATTTTATGTTATGCAGTTTTTATTTTATGTTATTGCAAAGACATTTTGTCCAAATCCTCATTGATTTATGAGGCTACCTGAGAGCCTTCAAATGCATTACATAAAAATATTTTTTTATTCTGCCGCTGTAAGACAGTGAAGGAAGCAGGGTTATGAATAAATAATTTGGTGTAATTGTGGTGAAAAATGGTCTGATCTGTATTTGGCTCAGTCGTCACTGTAGAGCCACCTACAAAGTCATGAAGAAGAACCGAAGGTTGTTTCTATTTGTTTATGAAAATTTTTTTCTTGACTCTCATGAGGACAATTGGATATGTAAACAAACTGTTCAGAAATCACTGTCTAATGTTGCTTTTATGTATCTCTGAAAAATAATTGTATTGTATCTGAGGTACACAAGAAAACTGCATTTCATATGCACTTATTAAACAAATGTTAGGAGACCCTATGCCCAAATAGTGGCCCTTTTGTGGAAGCTAATCCAACCAGACGCTTCTTCTAGCCAAATGTCTTGCAGTGTCTGCTCAACATATAACTCTTTCAATGGTTTTCCTGTCAGGTTTCTTTAATGTACCATCAGTCCAAGGTCACCCCAGAGCAGCTTTGGGCTATCACTCTGCCAAGGTCTTTTTCTGACAATCTTTTGTCAGAACATGAAAGTCAGACTCATTTAGTTTCTTCCTGTTCAGGCAAGCATCTATGTTAATGCTTGCATGCTTTTATCACCAGCAAAAGCAGTCTGCTTTAGGTCCCGTGATGACAACTGGGGGTGTCTGAAACTACTTTTAGCATCTTACGTTCTGTTGTTGAGGTGAACTTAATTGGATTGTCAAATATGTGCATGCTGTTGCAGTTGTTTGAATTTCTTCCACTTGCAGAATGATTGACTTCAAAATCTTTTTAGACCTCTTTGAACCACTTACCAGACTCTTCAGCTGCTACAATCTTCTTTCTGATGGCATCTTTACATCTTACCATTGTGGTCACTCTCACTCTAACACTAAGGAGCACACCAAACTAAATTAAGTTTAAATGCAATATATTTCATGACCCTGAAACTCATAAACCAGGGACCCTCCTCATGATGACTACAGCCTGAGATTTTGTCTTCAAACACCACAACCAAAATCAAGGCTGAAGAAACCTTGGTGGAGTTCAGCCTGGATACAAACTCAAATCGGGGCTAGTCCCAGTTTCGATGAAGCTTGGACCCTCGACTTTTGAGAAATGATTGATTGCTGGCAGTTTGGACTTTGCAGAAATTTTAAAAGAGCATATTATGTTATAAATGTTATCATGTTACCTTGATATATTTCCTACATATTTCCATGAACCACCTGTGGTGACCATTCGGGGATGCCTAAATGTTTGATCCAAAAGAGCTGATTATTACCACAAAGCTCCTCCTCAGAGCTCCACTCCCCTTCTTCAGCCCACTCTGGAGAGGCTGAGTGGCGCCATTTAGCAAACACCTGATTAAATTGCTTGTCTCCTGAGTTCATGACACAAACCACTTCTCACTCATTAGAACATTCTTAAAGGCTCAATGCAGAAACATTGTTGTGATGACATGCTGAAGGTGGATGGACTGAAAGAGCATGAGCTTCAAAGACAGAAGCCCAATTTCAAGAAGTCAAATTACAAAGTCAACTTTCTTTAAGTTATGTTTAGACATGTAAAAGTGCTATTGTAACAACTGAAGATAATATATTTACTTGATTGGACTGGAAAACCTAACTACCAAACCCACAGATTTGATTCACCGTCCCACAGCCAGAACAAAAGCCATTCTTCTCTTCCAGAGTTTGAGGTTTGACATTGATCTTTTCCAACATCCTAGATTAAACTTTATGCAACATTTTTCTTTTCTAGAAAGGGACTTCAGTTCTTCAATCCCAAACCACTCCTACTGATTTTAATCAGCTGAAATGATAAAACTTGCTTTATCTTTCAGCAAGTCTGCCTGTATTCATATTTAAAATTTAGATTAGCATTGACATCAATTATTATATTTGGCCACCACCCATAAAAGCAAATTCAATGCCCTGCCACTGCCTTCAAAACAAAAGCTAATGACATGCTTTCTGCATGCTTACTTCCAGGATTAACAATTTAATCCTCTCACTTTGGAGACAAAACACAAAATATTGATACGTTCATGAATAAGAATATGAGAAAAAGGCTGAAAGACACTTTTGTGCAATCGTCGTCATAACTATATGGTTCAAAAGCAAGCTTAGACTAAAGCAAACAGGTTAGCCCTTTTGCTGCTGTATGACTCATATGCTGTATGGATGATAGCTGCAAGTCAAACGTTTTGACTCAACCTAGGTGCCAAACAGAGGTGACCATAGAAACTCCTCCATCCAATGGGAAAGCAGGATATGGGTGTGGCTCTCTGTCTGAGCAACAGCTTTTCTTCTTTAGTTGGGTGAATGAGTAACTTTCTGTGCTCTAATTCTTCAGCAGGCAAAGATAGCAGGAACTCTGCAGAAAGATAAAACTGTCATACTTCTAACATGCTCAAGTTCACTTCTTTTGTATGCAAATAAATGAACAGAAGTTACATTTTCTTTGGCTTTGAGTGGATTTGTCTTCATTACTATATTTTATTGGAGTTTTTTTTTCTGCTGTAAAAGTCTCAGATTAATGGAATCATGTTCTTAAAAGGAGGTAGTTCTTGACTAACCTTCTTTATAAGTCATGACCAGAAAAAAACAGATCTGACAGGGTATAGAAAAGAGAAAACAAGTGGATCATGAGATTCG